TGTACCTGAAGTTAAAACTCTTTTCTTACTCAGGAATGCATTTTGCAGCACTGTTTCTTCCAGGTGACCAAATGAACCTTTAACTCCTGTACACAAGGTAGAATGGATTCAACTGGATGTTTTTGTGGCCTCATCTGCCAAACCAACCCCAGGAAAGCCTGTAGTTTCCGCTGGGCTTATACTGCCCATACTCCTTCAGCAGAGAAACAAACTGGGTTGTGCCCCATGTTTGGGGTGAGTGCTTCAGCCACTGCACATGGCAGAGCCACGACAGGCCATCAGCCACTTCTTTGGCCATGTTTTGGAGGACAGTGGCACTCCTGCCATCCCAGGACTGCTTCCAGAAGCAGTTCCAGTGGTTACACCGTAAAAACAGTAGCTACCTGAAGAAGTTCCTTCTGTCAGGACAGAGAGAAAGACCTTGCAGGCCATGCTGAGAGGTGTTAGATGTGGGCTTAGATGCTTGGATTTTAAGATAGAGGTACTTCTGCACAAGGCCAAAGGCAGAACCTGCAGCTCTTGGGGAAACCTTATACCATTTATTGAAATATAAATGAAGATTAATACTCTCCAGGGCTAGGCAAGATAAATGAATGGGGGTTTTGAGGACTGCAGTAACTCCCACATGATGTACCTAATTTTCTTTTTGAATATCTACCTCAATCATTCTGTACCATATGCAATCACTTAGGCTTTCTGCTGTATGTATGTATATATAAACTCAAGCTTTAGGGCATAAACCAGTGTTTAGCTTTATATAGACAAAAAAAAGTTTCCTAATATTAAGCTTTCAATTATAATAAACAGGATTATTAGATGGAAGAATTTATAATGATTCACTATGGTCATTCCAGCGCTCCTCTTCTTTAAGATTTATTTTCATAACCCATCTGAGTAATACTTCCCTGCCTACGGAGAACTTTGAAAACCTTGCATTCATTTTCATTCACATAATTAGGCTAAAAGTATTTTAAAATCCCACTCTACCCTGCTTTCACAAATGAAAAGTAAAACCTGATTTCTATCTGGAAAATAATTTTTTAAAGTCTAATTTTCTTCCTTTGACTGTTTTACTTGACAAAGAACAATATTCAAAGGGTATGGATACGTTCAGAATATGTTCCCTTTAAACATCCCTTTCCTGGGGAAAGTGAAAATGGATACAAAGGTACGGCGGGGGTGAGGCTGACTCACATGCAGACCCAGTATTTAAATTCCCTGACAATTTGTTCCTTACAGCTTCTGGCTTTGGGTTACTTCCTCATCCTCTGGTGGATATTTTCTCCCATCTGCTGTATTTTACTGAGATACTACATTTCTTTTGTTGCCTTTGTCTCCTTTCCAGTGCCTTACACTCTGAGATCATGTAGTGAAATGCCTCGTTCTGCTGGCACAGACCTTCACACCAACAATACAGCGCTGGCCCAAGGGTCTGGCAAGGGGAGATGTTGCTGCCAAGTGGGACAAGCCCTCTTGGAGACACCCAAGTCATTACAGGCCTCCAGCCAAGGGGGTCGGGGAGTTGCTTTGTAGTCGAGTTGACATAGTCACCAGTGTCGGGACTGGCAGAGCTGTCTGCCAGGTTTCACAACTGGAGGTGCCATTGTAGGAGCCTTGCACTGAGGGCAGGACTGGGGAAATGGAGACTGAAAATGAGAGTCGGTCATCCAAGTCTCACGTCGTGGCGGACCCAAGTCCCCTCACTGCACACACACTTTCCCTGATGGGAATATTTTCTTCAGCAGACACGTGTGCTGAGATTTGGAGTTGGAGCAAATCATTCAAAGCTGCTAAAGTTGTTACAGTATAGATTTAAGGGAAGCTTTTTTTTTTGTCATAGCCCCGTAAACTGGGAAAACCTGGAATTCACCATCGTGAAGCAGACTCTTACTAAGCTCAGAATATCACTCGGAAATGCACATGTACAGCGTTTCCCCGCACCAGGCTGTACCTGTGCAGCTGTACTTGAGCACAGCTAGGCAAAGGAAGGAACCTGATTACCCTGCAAGTGAAATCAATGCGCCTGGTGTGATTGCTCCAGCGAGAATAGCACCGTCTCCCAGGCAGGGCAGAAACTTCACTTTGAACTTCCTGAGCTGACAAGGGCTTAAATCAGAACTGTAACTTTACTTTGATGTCATTTATTGTGGTTTAATACCCCTCTTTATTTATTTTTTTACAATCATGTAAAATATATAAAGAAACCTAATCTGTTAGGGAGGTGTATGAGAATTTACTCAATAGAGCTTAATGGTTCCTTTATGCAGCTATAAAACACAGGGAAGCTATAAGAATAGTCTGAACCGGACTAGGAACTTTAAATGTTATATAAATGTATTTGTCATAGTCAAAGGTTTATTGCTTTAGGTATTTACCTTCCCCATTGTTTAACTAGGTTGTGTATTTCTCAGACATCTATGGTAAAAACCATGTTGTACAAGTAATTAAGGAGAGCTTAAAAGCAGGGATGAATAAGCCAAATCTCTTTTTGGAAATATATTGTAAATCCAGAGTAACTTTACTGATATTAACGCAGTTACACTACTGTCGATGCTGAAAACTTGAAGCTAAACTACGGCTATGATAGAGTTAATTCTTTCCCCCCCCCACACACCCCGCAGGCTAATCTGGAATAATTCAGTTAAGCTGATGATAGAATTTTTCTTAATTTCCACCCACAGAAATCAAAGAGGACTCTGCCCCTCAACTAAGTAGGGTTTTCCATCTCACCTTTAAAGTATTAGCTATCTAATACCTCCTTGCTGTATATTATAGATAAGCAGCTGAGCAGTATTTAGTGAACGCGAATAGAGTCACAGGTGGCATGTTGCTGTAAATCAGAATAGCTCTGAAATCAGCACAACCTGTTTTGATTCACACCGGCTGTGGATCTAGCCCACATGTTCCCAGCATTTTGCAAAGGTACGTGTCCACTAGCCTCTAACATTGCATATTCTTCAGGCAGATTTTTAAAAACTTTTAGCAAACCATAGTAGGAGACCATGAAGACGTTAAATCATGATACATCAAACCAGACAAGGCAAAACACATTTGGCCAGGTACAACTCTAAGTGAGCAAATTCTGAATTATTTCATGATGTACAAGTCATTGGTCAGTTTTAAGTTATGTAGAGTCAAAGTCAAAGATGCTCCACCTGAAACAGAGAATATCAGAGTTTAAGAAAGGATCTATTTCAATTTTGTTCATTTTTAATCTTACATGAATTTGCAATATTTTCCCATTTTTATTCTTGCAGGCATTGAATTCTTAACACTCTTTCGTGGTTTTTCCATATTTCTTTTATTAAAAGGAACAAAGGACAACAGCATTAAGAACATTATCAAAACATACATTATAATTTTGATGATTTATGCTAGCTATTTGCTTAGTACTCTACCACTGCGACAGTGGAAAGCAGTCTGTGGATACATACACATAAAATAAATGTATGTTCGTGTTTATACATGTGTGGGAGGCAGAATACGTATGCACCAGAAATTCTGTGTGTTTTTATTAAGAAAGGTCAGAATGGAAAGAATTAAGCCAGACCTCTGGTAACATCCATCTCTATTTCTTTCAATTTCCTGTTGGATTACCTTAACTATCTCTATGTTTTCCATCTCAGTTGGAAAGATAACTTAAGTTATCAGCAGTAAGCCAAGGACATAGTAAGATTCTATATGTTTTTCTCTGGGTGCTCTTTTTAATGTATTGCCATTATCAGTTACGCAAATAAATAACAAAATTGGAAGGCCAATGTCATTTCAGTAAATGCACGGTATTTTATGTGTGTAAGTTCCTTGCTTTTCCCTGTGGTGGCCTAAGGCATGCCTCAAATTGCACATGCATTTTCCTGGCAGAGCCATTATTTTGTGTTTGAGAGTATCTGGTTTAATTAGCAAGCAAATTACAGAGACGGATGATGCCAGTCAATGAGATTTCTGTGGAGGCGGTAGCTCAGCTGGTGTTTCCATGGGCCCTGGTCCACTTGGAGAGGTACAGTTGAGTGCTGTACCAAAAAAGTCATCAAATATGCATAGAAGTTTCCTTCATTTTTAACATAAACTTTACTGGAAATAGTTATTTTATTTCAGTGTTCTTATTTTTCTCCTGTTTGAAATCCACTTTTGTAATTGTGTCAGTAGACTGATTTGTAGGCATTGGCATACTTATTTTCATTGTTAGATCTGATTGAAGTAAAAATAATAAAGACAAAAAGTTGACATCTTGACTATCAGGTTAGACGTTTCAATTTTGATAAGATTAGGCATTAACAACGGCATTTTTGTTAACGGATAACAGGTAATGTTTGTACTAGGGACTGTTAGTGTTGCTATTAAGTTTTTGATTGTTGAGAGCTAGATTTACTACGATGGGTAATTTACTTAGGTAAAAAATGTAAAGACCAAGTCTTGCAAAGCTTGTATTCTAGGGGCTGTCAATAATTGCATTGAAGTTTGGCATATGTATTCATCCTTGTAAAACTGGCCCCTAAACACAGGCAATGGAGACGAGGCAGCATTCATATTATTGTTAGAAATTTTATATCAATGATTTGTTTTTCATCAGCTCCTTCCATCTGGCCCATCTTTCTTCTAATTGTTACTTAATTGAATACAAGCAAACAGTTGGTCCATTTTTCTTCATTATTTCATTCTGACACATTTCTATAAAAGGGTTTTGTCCTACAAACATGGCAATAGCATAAATTACAAAGATGAAGCATGTCTGAAACAAAAATTAGGAAATTTTTTTTGTGTAATCTTTTCTTCAGGGGTGGATGCTTTATTAAATAGCAACCAAAGATATTTAAATGAGAACCTAAATCAGGCTATTTATTAAATGCTTAGCGATAAACAAGCTTATAGACAGCATGAAATGATCACACTTTTTAAATCTGTTCATTCAGCCATACATCCCTAGTGCAGAAGAGCTTCCATTCGTCATAATCACTGAATTAACTTTGTGGCTACATTTTTTTTCCCCCTTTTCTTTGCAGAGAGAATGTGCTAATTTCATCAAGGTGCTTAAGGCTTACAACCAAACCCACTTGTACGCCTGCGGAACAGGGGCTTTTCATCCAGTCTGCACCTATATTGAAGTTGGAAGCCATCCTGAGGTAAACTATCTTAAAACAATATTTTTCTTTTTTCCTCTTTTTAATCTTTAGTGGTGTTTAGCCACGATGTCTTCTTGCCAAAACGCACTCTCACTGGTTTCTGTGGCTCAATGAGTGGATCTGGTAGGAACTGCTCCTGGATCAGGTGCTGACGTGCTGATTGATAAATCACAGCAGAATCTGTACTTTTCTCCCCTACGCAGCATCTTTTCCTCCAGGGGCTTAAATAAATACGAGCAAGCCTGTTCTGTCTGGTTCATGAAGTTAAAAGCACTCTCTTTTTTTGGTCAGGACAGATACCAGCTATAGGAGGGGTAGTTCAGCCTGTGAGCTTGCTCTGGGGCCAACTCTGTCCTTTGTTCTCCTACCAGTCAGTACAGTCTGACACCGCGACAGCTTTCTCCCAGCTGGGACTTAAAATAGTGTCACACATTCATAAATCCCTCTTCTCAGATTTGTCCTAACACACTGACAGGTTTTCATATGTGACCTAGGTTTTGTTTCCTTACTTTTTAGTGAAAAATAAATCACTTTTCCTCTTTTCCCCCCCATGTTTTAAAATTTGTAGCTTGCTGATTTTTGCTTGGTGTTGCAGAAATTTTGCAGTAGCTCTTGTACTCTTTTGTCAGTGATCGTCATAACTAGATAGCTAAGCATGGTCTTCCCTGGTGAAAAACAGTATCACTCACAGAAAGCAATGGGACTGTGCTGGGTTTCCTGGCGGAAAATTTTACTAGAATGTTTCTCTGCTCCATTTCAATACTTCAATACTTTTTCTCTCCAGAAAAGCCAATCTTTTATTTTCCTGTTGAGATGAGTATGTAATAGAAATCAGTCCACTTTACTTTGTTTTCAATCTGGCTTACCTGAGTATTGCTCGATGGACTGTTGCAATTTAGCAACTGGTCTTGATGTCTTTTCAGCAGTCACAAATTTATGGATATGTTTTACTGGTGAATCCATAGTTGTGTTACTTGTATCTTCTGTGATCTTTGAAGAATAGCTCTTTCAAGTTACCTTATGGTTTTGCAATTCAGGTTTGCAGATTTCCCTGAAAATACAGACATGATTGTTAAATGAGTGAGGACTCAGTTATTTAAAAAAACAGAATTTCTTCTTGTAGAAAAATTAACAGACCTTTTGAGTGTTGACTTTATAGTCTGGGAACCATTTTTCCCTATAAAAATGTCTTTTGATATTTGAAACATGAGTCGTTAAAGTGTTCTAAGCATAAGGTTTTGAAGGCATAAAGGAACTGCAATGTAAAAAGGTTTTTTCATATTCTTTAAATGCTTTATTCCAGAATGCATTCTTGGCAATTAGTGATTGTCTCTTGACCACACACAGTATGTCATTGCTTACTGCATTAAACAGATTCTCTGCTTCCTGAGATCCATTTGGGAATTGGTAGACATATTAATTAACTCTAGTTCCGTAAGATGTGTGTCAATCAATTCTTGGCTATCTGCCAAGTGAATCTATCTGCAGAGAGATAGCTGGTATGAGGTCATTTACTTCTACATTTGGCTGTTTTATGACTGTACCATAAAACTAACACACACTTTATCAAGGATTTATAGAAAGGATGATCAGAGATGAGAGGCCAGATCCAACCTTGGTTTAACATTCTGGATTTTGAGACACTCGAGTCAATGATGCGTTTGGCCCTGGAGCTGAAAGAGGATGTTTGTTTTAGCTTCTTTTTATCAGTCCCTAACTATCAACAAAATGGAAGTTGTTGCGTCTTTGGTCATTTATGCAGTAAGTTTGTTAGTTCCCGTGTGCCTGAATCATTCTCTTGACGCAGGGAAGTCAGGACTATGTTTATCTGAACTGCCTCAGACACTATTAGCTTTTTTATTTCCTTCTCATACTTAAGCTATGAGTGAAATCATCTCTACCTGGCCTTCCAGCGGCCCAAGTTTCTGTGTCCTCTGGACAGTCATGCAGGGCGTTGCTGCCTTCTCAGCCCAGGTCTGCCCATGCAGAGAGAAAGGAGGGCAGGCAGGAGGCAGCGGTACCCACCTCTTCTCAGGCTTTGACAAATCTGACAGTCAGTCTGGGTCCTGTCCCTTGCAAAGGTGAAAATCAGATGAATAAATAAATTTATTATGTTTGCAATGAAAAATATTCTGGCCTGTCTCCATCTCTCAGCTAGAGCCTGCTCCTTCCTTTGCCATTCCACCTAGCCAGGAATTTCAAATGTGCACCTCTCCCCAGAGCTGGGGAAGAGGAGGGTGCTTGATTGACAGCAGCTATTAGAGACACAGGGGGGGGGGGGGGGGGATATACAATATTAACCCCCGCACCCCTGCACACTGCATCTGTGAGAGCCAGATGGTTTATGTTGTCATGTTAGACAGCAGCACTGGACCTGTCAAAGGGCCATTGCTTCTGTATCATGTGTAGTTTATACCTCCCTAGCATACTAAAAAAGGTAAAAAGTATAAGTGAAGGCAAGCGGTTGATTTTGAGTTAAAAAATTGCCATCTAAAACATTTCCTGAAGATTCATTTTCTGCCACAACACTTGTGGAAAATTAACTGACTTCACCATCTGCTTGTTTATTTTTCAAGCACTTAGAGAGGTAAATGTGAAGTGATTAGGGGAATAGTCAGGGAATGTACCTACTGTCTAGTAGGATTGCTTGTTTACGTGAGCTCTGAATATAACCCACCTGCCTGAGTCCGGTGGAGGAGAGGAAATCAGTGTGTGCCAAACTGAAGAGGATGGAGAAGTGAAATTTAAAGAAACAAGTGGCAAGTGATAGGGGAGACACTGGAAGCAATCGGAGCAGGCTGCAGGAGGCTGGAATATGGTACAATTTTTATGATTGGGGAAAGGAAAGAAACTACTTTGTGTGACAGTCATAAAGTAATGGGAATATGAATTGTTATAGCTGTTGAATATCTCTTCGATATGAAGCAGTGTATCGCAGCCCCATTCCATACTTGAAGAAAACCATTTCTAGTGATGAAACTAGGCAGGTCTAATTGAGTTTGATGAAGCACAGTATCAGAAATAATAATAAAAAGGTAAAAGGATATGAACAGCATGCTGTGCATCTGATTAAAAATCATCTGCGCAAACGTATACAACCTAATATGTTGTGAATTACACCACAGTCTAAGGAGTAAAGCAGACTAATCTTCACTTAAATCCATTCCAGATGTGTAAGTGAATAACCACAGTATTTAGAGAGAAGAATAAAGTTAAAGTTCGAATAGACTTCAAGCACGTAAGCCATGAGTAAGCAGGAAAGAACATATTTAGAGAGAATGTTACATGTGTATATGCAGAAAATACCTGAGTAGAGCCTAATTTAAAGCTCGAGATCATCCATGGGAGAGGCTGTATTTGTACCTTCACTGAATGGGGCAAACTGGCTCATATGCAGATGTCTGTATTGTATGTGCTTGAGTTTAGGTGAGATGACCTAACACAGACACCCACACCGGCTTCAGGGATCTGGGGTTAGGCAACCTGTGGCATTCTCTCCACATAACACAATATAGTACACAAACCCAATTACCAGACAAAACAAGAAAGTGATTAGTAAAGCTATGTTCCACTCCCACTGACTTCTGAGGAAACAGGATTGAATGTGTAGGAATGTTGTACTTAACGGTTGCAAAACGACACGAGTCAGATCTGTGCTTGAAAGGAACAAATCCAACAGCAGGGAGACACAGAGGTGCATTAAACCCACTGGAAAATCGCCACAGGATGCAGAATGCACCTGCCCGTGCAGGCTGAGCAGGGGGAAGGAGCCCTGCTCCCTTTCCCCAGGGCTCCCTTTGGGGTAGTTTGTCTGAACCAGCAGGGAACACTCCTGTTTAGGAAAGAACAGGATTTTCCATTTACTTAACCCTTACATACAGGTGGAGGTATAGAGAATGTCCTATAGAACCTTTTCTTTTAACACTCAGGCAGGCATTGCAAGAGCTGTATGAAATTGTTTGCCGGAGTC